CAGGGTTTGGGCTTAAGGATTTAGGGTTCAGGGTTTGGGGTGTAGGGCAAGGCTCTGTCAGGAAGCGGGCACAAAGACCAATCTGTAAAGGACCTTTGGGACAATTTTCAGCTCATGCACTCAATCTGACCCCCAAACCCCAGACCATACCCCCAATTGCTAAACCCTACATTCATATCAGGAACCCCAGAAACGTAAGTTCTAGTGTGTTAGACAAGGGATTTGCGAACGCCCTGCAGACCTACATCATGACCCCCAAACCCCAAACCATAACCCCCAAACCCCAAAGTTGCTAAACCCTACATTCGCACAAGGAACCCTAAAACGGTAGGTTACTGGGTTTAGCGTTTCAGGGAAAGGATTTGCAAACAACAGAGCAGAAGAGTCCCACTCCAGGCGCCCGGCTCGTTAAATCAGGCACCCACTCGGCTGTCGCCTCAGGCTATAGCTTATCGAATGTAGAGGCCAAAACAATAATCATAATCAGGAACCCCAAGAATAGTATAGGTGATGATTCAGGCCTCTACATTAGGGCGCAGGACTTTCGATTTAGGATTTCGCGCGGTCTATCCCAGCACGACATGACCTACCTGTTTGGGTCTCCTTACTATGATCGCCTCATACCCTTACCCATAACTCTATACTGAACTTAGACCCCTAGCAAAAAGTATAATTTTAGCTGCTTCTTCGGGTTTATAGCAGCCAAAGATTAAAAAGTATTTCTAAGTACCCCTAAGAACTGAGCAGGTGGGGCTCAAGGAATCAAGCTTCCGATGTCTTTCTCAGAGGTTTTGAAGCTGGTGTTCGAGGATTCGAACCGGGGCTGTGCGGCAGATTCCCGTAAGCTCCCGAACCCTCAAGAACCCGCTTTTTTCCGGGTTTCTTGTTATGACTGAACCTCAGACCCAAAACCCCCAACCCTGAAAACTGCGGGCAGCAAGGGTTCGTTCTCCCAGCTCTCAGGGTTTAGGGCTGAGGGTTGATGTGCAATCCTTGTTCGCATGATGCGATGGAGGATGCTTCAATCACCTCTCGCCATCGATCGTGATGCAATTGTGATGATCTTCTGGGTTTGGATTCGAACTGCAACTGGGCCCTACGACCAGGCTAGGCAGCATGTGCCCCAGGCTGTGCTATGTGAGAGTTTCAGAAAAGTAGGGACTCCCACAATGGTAGCTCGAAGGAGCCTTGTCATGTGGACACCCGGAAAGAACGCCGATTTGTCACACACGCACACAACCACAGATACATGTATACGCACACAAATGCCCGTAATTTTGGTAGATGTACGTGTATAATATGCATATGTATAGATATGTGCACATGCATACATCGCGGATATATAGATACGCCTATGAAAAACAACCTTGGCAAAGCTTCCAGCCGAGATTCAGCGAGTCGGGAAACTGCAATTAGTCCCTACAGAGTACTTAACTCAGGTAGGCTTAGAGTTTAGGCGTTTTTAGGGTCCCAGCACCGAGCGAATATTGGCATCTCCCAGACCTATCAAAATCCTTCGATTCAGGAATAGGCCCTAAATCACCTGAGGGACCCTGCGATGATTTGCAGTAGATCCCTTCATGTAAGGCCCAAAGGGTCCTAGGTAGTGTTATGGGGGATACTTTCCCAAATCATAATACAGATTCCTGATATAGAAACCCTACCTTCTACCATACAGTGTGACAGGCACTTTGGACCCTTTGGGAGGAGGTTTTGGAAGCTGTGGGCTTCCAAGGAGATATCAAGCAGCGGGATGTAGACCTGCCGTTCTTGGGCAGTGCCTAGAGACTCCAATACCCCTTAATTAAGGAATATTCCTTAAATTGTAGTAAGATCCTTAATATGATTTAAGGTATATTCCTTAATTAAGGGATATTGGAGTCTCTGGGTGGCCTGCCTTTGAAAGTCTGGAAAACCCTCTGAATCCCACCTCCCAAAAACTAGACAAAACGTAGTAGCTGTAGTTCCATTGTGGTTCCCTTCTTGGGTTACTTTGTGGTTTGCGCTGCGATCCGAACCACAAACTGAGCTGACCGAAAAAGGAAGTACATGCTTTGTGGGCAGTAAACACATGAGTGAAAACTTTGGACCTAAACCCTAAACCCCACCCCTAAACCCTAAACCCCAAACCCCTAAAACCCCTAAAACTCCTGAACCCTACAGGCCCTCAACCCCGCCCTAAATCCTAAACCCTACACCCTAACCCTAAAACACCAAAGGCTAACCTAAAGAGGAAGTATGTGGAGTTTCCGAAATCAAGGTGTACCTTATTGTGGGGTCCTTATAATAAGGATCCTACTATTTAGGGTATTGTAATGGGGTCCCCTATTGTCGGAAACTCCCACGTAGAAAGGGGGACTCTTTGGTCTGAACTCGCCTCCCCTAGGCGCCTGAAGCAACAGTCGCACTGCTCCCCTTTAGGGTTTAGGGTTCAGGGTTTAGGGTTTAGGGTTTAGGGTTTAGGGCTCAGGGTTTAGGGGTTAGGGTTTAGGGTTAGGAGATCTCTGGTGCCAAGTTTCCCCAAGCCATGTCTAATTGTTCTAACGCCTCAGGCAACCCCGAAGCCCCAAGACTCAAGACCCTAAACCCTAAACCCTAAACCCTAAACCCTAAACCCTGAACCCTAAACCGTAACCCTAAACCCTAAACCCTAAACCCTAAACCCCTAAACTCCTAAACCCTCAACCCCTCAACCCCTGAACCCCAAACCCAAAAAGCAACGACTGGGGTCTCAACCCCCTCGTTGTTGAATTAAACCTTGGATGAGGGTAGTTCTCTAAATTAGGGTTTAGGTAAAGCCCCTGAAAGAACTTTCAAATACCACTCAGCCCCAAAACTCTAAGTTGCAAACCCTTGGACATACAGCCTGAACTCGGTACTTCACGAATCGCGGCACGCGAAGCCCCAAAGCCCTGAACAACCCTTCAACCCCCAGCAACCATTGCAGCCGATGATTTTGTTGCGTATCTATCTATGCGTGTATATATATATATATAATGTGTGTATATATATATATATGTATACAGCTGAACCACTTGACATCATTCAGAGCCCGGCATGCTGTCAAACCTCATTTGAGGCCCTCACGTTTGGCGTATTGCTGTGCGAGTTGGCCGAACATAACCTCGGCCGCAGCCTCGCGGTGTGGGAAATCCCGAAAGGGATAGTACATAATATACATTGGCAACAACCTTACTATGTAGGAGACTCCTTTATAAGGCCACAGCAGTATGTAGGCCCGAGGCATGATATTGCAAGATATGAGCAGCAAGACTAGTACTAACAGTAGTAGTTGCCGTCGTCGTGGTAGTGGTAGTAGCACAGTGATAACAGAAGGAAAAGCTGGACTTGCACTGATAGCGGTAGTGGTAGTACTAGTCGTCGTCGTAGTAGCAGTGGTGGTGGTGGTAGTGGTAG